CTCCCTCTCTCCCTCCCTAACCTTTCTTTCCCTTTTTCCTTGTATCCAATTGCTATTCCCCCCATACTCTACTCTCCAATTTCACAGGACTTCTCTCATGCGTCAGGATATTTCTCACGTCTGCCCCTCTACTTAAGCCTCACCGCCCCTTGAAATACCTTTGCCACTATTTCTCTGGCTAGTGCACACTCGACTGTCAAAATGCACCTCAGGCACCACAGTCTTCAGACAGCCTCCACCCAACTCCCCAGGCTGAGCTGAAAGTCCATTCTCCAGGCTCCTATGGCCCCGTGTAGTGCTTCATCATTGCACTAACCCCAGTCGTATGATGGTTTTAAGTCTATATGACGACTCTGGGCACCTTGCGGAAAGGGTCCATGGCCGATTCTCTCAGTGCCCTTAGCTTCTGTCACTCGGTGTTACCTGAGGTGTCTCATTTCATGTTTGTTTAATGAGTCAGTGCTGCATTTTTTGACAAATGAGCATGAATGCTCTGTGGATCTGTTTATCCAAATAATTGAAGACCTTTGACAGACACTGCTTTCAGGAAGCCCTCTTTGATGCCCTCAGTCAGAGGGGATACCTTCCAAGTCTGAATCCCCGGAAGGCCCCAATCATTTATGATTCCCGCTTTGTAGTTGTCGTGTTCAGGTCCTCACCGCCAGGTGAGCTTGCCCTTCATGCATGTCGGAAAGGAAAGTCTTACCTGAGCAGGGCCAGTCTGCAGCCAGAGTACAGTGGGCCGATGCTGGTGTTCTTGAACAAAGGGCCAAGCTGGGGAGGAGGGAAAGGCAGGTAAGCTGCAGAGACTGGGTGGGACAAGGGCAAGGCAGGCCAGGGCAAACACCAATGGGCTCTTACCAGGTGATTCAAAGCCTTCTCGGTGGAGTTGAACTTCGCAGATCCTGGGTGCCTCATGTCTGGGGTGTAGGGCAGGTTGGTGATGGTGAAATTGAGGGTGAAAGGCACCGGGGCTGGGCCCACACCTGCAGTTGGAAGGAGGGAAAGAGTGGACACTCATCACAATCTTAGGCCTGAGCTGCATGTGGGAGAAGGGACTAGTGTTATCCGTCGGTCCATAGTGTCCAGTTGTTGAGGCCTGAGATATCTTTTCTGGGATGCCCTCCCCCCTCAGCCAGCCAACAGGGGAGAAGGGACCTCCATGGTAGATGTGTGACATTAACTCAATAGGGAACCTCAACCCTTTCATCCCAAAGTGTTCAAAGGCCGGCAAATTGTGGACATTTTAGTGGGAAGAGGAGGTGCTGAGAACTTTTGTGCTCAGCCTTGGGCCACAAATACTTGAGCAGTCAAGAAATCCAGGACAGAGTAATTGCCATGAGTGAAATGGTGGTCCGAGCAAGAGCATGCTGAGCTGGGATTTGGAGGACAAGGGGGAACCACGTACAGTTCCAAGAACAGTAAGTGCAAAAGCCCTGAAGATAGAAGGATGTTTGGGGCCTGGGGGAAAGGAAATGAGGCTGCCGTGGCCAGAGATCAGGGAGTGAGGGAGCAAGTGGGACAGGTTGCCCTGGGTGGGCATCATGGTCCAGATCAAGCAGGAATTCGTCAGCCAAGGGATGAGAGTTGAGGTTTAATGGGGCTCAGAGGCTAGATTCCTACCTGTGGAGCTGGGGGTGGGGCTCAGAGATGCTGGGGGTCCTGGAGAGGATGTGGAGGTCAGCAGAGCTGAAAGAAAATACAGTAGGACTATAAATTGTTGAGCCCTATCATGAAACAGTGAGAGGGTGGAGCTGTTCATGGGAACTTGCATCTCTAGCTTGGCTTAATCCGAGGCTCCTGGTGGCTGCGGCTACTCTGGGGCTGACACCTGGGGGATGGGTGGTACTTTCCTCCAGGGGATTAGGCTTAGGGAGGAAGGGTCCCGGAGGCAGGAGGACATCCAGGCCCTCATTACTCACTGCTAGTGGTGGGGATCCAGTACCGATGGCTGTAACCTGCAGAGAAGAAAGAGGAAGGGGAAGATGGTGGGAGGAGGTCAAGAATGGGGAGGGGGTAGAAATAGAAACACAAGCACACAGGCCTCCCTGAGCGCTTTCTCTGAGACGCATCAATGGACAACAACAGAACTGCATTCTTCATGAGGTAACTGCCTGAAACCCTGATGCTGATGATAATTTCATCCTTGGTATCATTAACCAGAAAGACAGCAATGACCGAAGCACCCCCAATCTTGGGGGGGTTTGCTAAGTGCTGGAGTAAATGGCAAGCTTATCGAAAGGATAACTGGGACAACAGTTTTAAAATTAGTTTTTCAGCCTTAGTTGTGTTCTCTTTATCTACTAACTATAATTTTGTCTTTACTCTTCAAGTTTCTCCCACTACCCAACTCTCCAAAGACAGCTTGATCTGTGACCTTGTGGTTCTCAGACTTCCATAGTGTTGAACTGAGATGATGGAGAGAGATGGAGAGGGGGAGAGAGGGGCGGGCTTGTGGAGAGGGGAAAGACTGGGCTGGTGTCAATCAAAGGCTATACAGTTGAAATATAAGAGGAAATGAGAAAAAGAATTTAAATAAGTATGGTTCCGGATCATGGGTTGGATCCTCTTTGATGCTCTGTGAGTAACGTAAGTAAAACTTTGACTTCTTTTTATATTTGATGGTCTGACCGGGTTTCTTGCAATGAAACTTATCTCTGAGACTGGGCCAAGTGGAGCCCTGTGACTTACTTGGGTTATTCAGATTTTTATCTCATTTGACCCTCACAATAACCTTAGGTGACTTTTCTACTTGGAAAATGGACACTGGAGCTTAGAGAGGTCCTGTGGCTTGTCCAGGGCCACACAGTAAGTCAAAGCAGGGCGAGGGCTTGACTAAAGCAAGAGCTGCAGTCACTAAAGCTCACACTAGTCACTACTGCTTTTAAGGAATCTCCAAGCACTAACGAAATCCAATTACAGGTTTCAATCCAGGTAATAAGAAAACATCCACGGTGATGTAATGGGGACACAACTAGTCAAGCTCTAGTTTAAAGAGTTCTCCTGAGGCGCCTTCCCATCCTGAGGTTCGAGGCTTGTTCTTGCTGGGCTGGTCTGCAGCGTAGCTTAGTAGTTAGGGGGCCTCAATTTTAGAGTCAACTAAGGATTTGATTCCTGACACTCCCACTTACATTAATGATCTGATCTTGGAATTTCCCCACCAGCCTTGGTTTCTCTTCTACCAGATATACACGATACCTTAGAGAGTGTTGGGCAGGATCAGCAATGCATAATATATATGACATTCTGGGCCATAGGAATCCCTCAGTAAATATTAGCCTTCAGTAAGGCGTTGTTGTGGGTGTTGTTGCTAAGAGCATGGTTGCAAAGGAATTTATTGTTAAAAACATTCCTAGCAGCTTTGTTGTTTGTTTCTCAGGTGGGGTGTAGTTCCAGCCCTTGGAGAACGGGTAAAGGACCACAAGCTGCTGTAGGAAGTGAGAGTGCAGATCAGTCACTGCACTGGGAACCCACTGGCTCTTGAGTTGACAGCCATGGGCTTACTTTACTCTCTTCCTTCCCTGATGTCTGCATGCTCCATTTGGGCTCCTGTGAATGGTCATTGGGATGAAGAAGACTAGAGGGTGTTTCCAGACCTTAAAGGGTGCTCTTTACATGTTATGAAGGGAGAGAACAGAGCCCCCATGGAAATTCTAGGGGTACAGAGAAACATGGGTACAGGGAAATGCACTCCAAGGAAACCCCACCCAGGAGCAGGAGGAGATCCCACGGCAGCAGAGCTACTCACCGCTGACGAAGAGACTATTGCTGTCCAGGGCATAGGGGCCCAGCCGCGTGACCCCATGGGTCTGCTGGCTTAGCTCCCAGTACAGCTGTTCTCTGTCCAGCCTGAAGCCTGTGGGATCTGGGTGGTGGGTGCAGATCGCACCCACTATGGTGCTTGTCCCCTCCCTTTCAGCCCTGGGGAAGGAGGGACATGGGAGTCAAGACATGAGGGGTAAATACTCCTGAGTGCTCCTTCCTTAGGTTGCACCCCTTAGTTTTTATATCAGCGCCCTTCCAGGTTTCCTCTCTTTCTAAAACACGTCCTTTCCCGTCTCACAGCGGGGATCCAGACCCTCCGCCTCCTTAAATGCGGTGTTCTTCAGGTTCCCACAGCCACTCCTCAGGTAACATTCTTCTTCCTGGCCCCCTTCTCCTTTTATTAACCGGCTGAAGCTCACTGTCTCAACTGCCATCCCCCAGGACACCCCCTGTCCACTCATGAAGGTAGATAGATGGTGTCACTCCCGTAATAGCTTAGTCTTGCTTGGGCCTTGGGGTCGGGGATGTGGGGCTCCCAGGGGAAAAAATTCTGAGGATCCTTGGGCCAGGCAGCCTGTGGAAGGGAAAAGCAAGAGGACTGAAGGTAAGTGATCACCCCATGGCTGGTTGTGACGNTGGGGATGTGGGGCTGGCTCCCAGGGGAAAAAATTCTGAGGATCCTTGGGCCAGGCAGCCTGTGGAAGGGAAAAGCAAGAGGACTGAAGGTAAGTGATCACCCCATGGCTGGTTGTGACGCTGAGCCTGAGAGGGGGATTTTATTTCAAGTTGGCAAATCTCAAGGCCGAGGCCAACTCTTTGGGAACACATTTTGGGCAGGCAACCAAGTTTGGAGGAAAACAGAAAACTAATTAGGAAGTAACCAGAGGCAATTGGTTCAAAAATAACTTTGTCCTGAATTTAAGCTGATCCTGAAGTGTTTCACTCCAAGCAGGGACTGTACAAGTAGGAAGGACCCCTCCCTCCCTTGCCTGTGACTTCTGCTTGCTAAGATCCGTGCTACTCAGAATATTCTCACTATACCCACAGAGTGTCACAGCGGTTCTCAAAGTGTGGCCCAGGGGCCTCTAGTGTTCCCAAAACTATTACACTACCACTTACAGTAATTATCTGATCTTAATTATCTTCACCAAGTGAAGAATATTTTTATAATAATCCTAAGACATTACTTTCACATCTCTTCTTTTGGGAGTATACAGTGACATTTTTTCCAGAGGCTATGAGGTGAAATATTGTAAAAATTGAATGCAGAAGCAGATGTCCTGGTCTCTTCTACTAAGCCAGGCAATGAAAGGATTTGCAAAAATGTAAACAATGACCCTCTTCTTATTGTGCTTCTTTTTTGGGGTTGGGAAGATATGGTTATTGTTTATAAAAATACCTCATTTATGTTAACACGTAATAGGTTTATTATTTTAATAAATAAATGAATAAATTTTCTGTTTTAATTTCTAGCACAGTTAACATGGGTAGATCTGATCTCAAGTCCAAAGGCTCTTTGGAGTTCTGAGTACTTTTTAAAAATGAAAAGGGCTGTTGAGCCCAGCAACCTTGAGTCCTGCTGGTACTGTGGTTATAAGAGGAGCTCCAGAGCCAGACATCAGGTTCAAATCCTAGCTCCCCTTAAGCACACAACTCGACTACTCTGCAGGGTCGGATAATTATCATATTGTTCTGAGGGTGAATGAATGAAAACATGCAAGTGACTGGCATTTATTGGATGGCATGTACCATGAGCAACATTATTATTACTGATTCCCCCATGCTATGGAGAGATGGGGCAAGTATGGTGGGCTCAGCTTATTGGAGGACACTGATCTGCAGTACACCAGGAATCTCTCCTCATGGAGTGATGTAGGTAGAGGGCCCACTTCTCTGGTAGGATGACTTGAGTTGGTTGGAAGAAGGAACTCACAGAGAGGCCATAGGGTCATCAAGTATAAGGAAAGGGTCCAGAGACCACTGACCTCGGAGGACACTGACTATGGACAGAGGCAGAGAAGAGATGACAGTCCATTTCTGAGAGTTCAGGTCCATTTGAGGGTTTTAAGATTACAATATACTCTGCTAGTACTCAACGTTTGATTTGTTTCCCCTCTGGCTCAGTAAGAATTCCTTTTGGGAAATCCCTACCTCTTTTCAGGCAATAAACTGCAGAGCTTCAGAGTCCAGTGTTTGTCTGGGACAGGGGAGATACAAGCTGGGACAGAGAGAGTGTCAGGGACTCTGAGAACACAGTTGGTAAAGATGCTACACTGGCTGGTACTACGAGATCCCATTACTTGAGAGCTCACAATGGGGCAGGCATTGCGACGAAGGATTAACAATTCCAAGAGTAAGGCACTGTATTATCACCATCTTCTAGATAGTGTGATTGAAGAACAGAGAGGTTATGTGACTTGTCCAAAGTCACACAGCTAGCAAATGGAAGAGCAGGGATTCCAACTCAGGCACTTTGGATCCACTGTGTTACACTGCCTCTCAGCAAAGGCCCAAGTAGCTGTGGTTGGCTAGGGTGTGGAGGGCCAAGAAAGGAGAACAGTAGGATTTCTGTAGGTGCTTTAGAGGGGGTCTCACCTGAGCGAGGTCAGTCTGCAGCCGGCATAGAGGGAAGCGATGCTGCTCTTCCTGAACAGGGGCCCCAGCTGGGAAGGAAGGAGAGGAAGGTGAGCAGGAGGGGCCAGGACAGCAGGGTGTGGCAGGGTTGGCGCAAAGTGGGAATTGTTGGGGAGCTCTCACCAGTCGCTGCAGGTGTCTCTCAGTGGCATTGAATATCTCAGAGCCCAAGTTTCCCATATCTTCCTTGTAGCGCAGGTTGGTGATGGTGAAGTTGACAGTGAAAGACATCAAGAAAGGAACTGCAGCTGCAGTGAGGGGGAGAGGAAAGTGAGGCCCATCCTGGGTCTGGCCTGGG